TATATATATATATATTTGTGTTCGACTTTATTTTTGCAAGAGTAAATTTAATTCTCGTTATCTTATATACTTATATTTGCACTCATTAATCATATTCTATTAAGTACAAAATTAATATTAATTAAAATTACTACAATTGAATAAAAAATCATTCTTAATTCATTCAATCTTAGGAACATAATTATTCTTAAATATAATGTTTTACTTCTTGAACTTGATTAAATCTAAGAGTAAACTTCAAGAACAAATATTCATTTTAGTCCATATTATTTAATGAATATCAAGTATATTTTTTAATATATGATTATCATATCGTCAGTCATTAGTCAATAATGACAAGAACTAAAATCATAAAATAAAAATTTTATAAGAATTAAAATTAACAAAAAAATATTCATATTAAAATCATAAAATGAATATATAAAAATGTTAGTAATATACGCTCGACTACTTTTTAATTGGTGATATTTTTTTTTAATAGTCATTTTCCAACACTTTTTTTATTATTGACCAAAATTTATTGTAAATTGTAACATCCTGATTTTTAGAAATAAAATAAAATAAGTATTTTAATAAAGAAAAACTTATATTATAGACTTAATTAATTTAATTAATTGAGTTTATAATATAAATAAAATATTTTTATTAAATAAAATAAAGGAAAATGGTTGTGGGTTAAGAGAGAAGTCTTAGGTTGGACTCTTGAGTCCAACTTAAAAACTTATTAAAAACAATAATGGGGGTAAGGTCATTTTAAGCTTTTGTTCTGACACTAACAACACATGCAAAGAAAATCTTAAAGGGAGACACTAGAGAATGTGTGGAGTAGGGGCAGAAACAACAAAGAACATGCTAGTGCCTCAAAGGTCATCATTTAAGGGATGATGATTACTAGTACAAAAATCACTTTTAAAATCGGGGTTTTAAAATCGATCATAAGATAGCCGATTTTAAAAGTGACGCGGTGGCAATTTTGTAAATAATGACATTACTTTTAAAATCGGCTCCCTTATGACAGATTTTAAAAGTCTCTGATGTTACTTTTAAAATCGGCTCTTTAATAGCCGATTTTAAAAGTGCTACTTTTAACATTGGCTCTTTGAGAGCCGATGTTAAAAGTAGCACTTTTAAATATGTAGTTTTTAAAATCGACTCTTTAAGAGTCGATTTTAAAAGTTCTACTTTTAAAATCGGCTATCTAAGAACCGATTTTAAAAACTACATACAAAATCGGCTCATAGATAGCCGATGTTAAAAATGTCAGAACTTACCTAAAATCTACGGTCCCATTCTCCCTTTCCCTCCATTCTCTAATCTTTTACTCCATATTCACTAATCGGTTCATATATTCTTTCCTTTACTCTCTCGGGCTCTCATCTGAATTCTCCAGCTTCTCATTTTCTTGGAAGAATACTATACCAAGGTAACATTCTCTTCTCATGTCTCTTATTTCGTTGTTGATGGGCAAATTTTGAACCTGGAACGGACCGTTCTGCAAGCAGAACGGGCCATCCTGCAAACAAAATAGCGCAGAACGGGCCGTTCTGAGGCTATTTCAAAATACAATTTTAGGCATTTTTCATATTCCGGAACGACCTGTTCTAGTTTAGGAATGGCCCGTTCCAAAGTTGGCACCTTTATAATTTCTTTTTTAACTCACCATTGCTTTATATAGACAAATTAGGTACCCAACTTAGAAAATTGGACACCTTGTATGTATGTGTTATATATTTGTATTTTATTAATAATTTGTGATATAATTAATGTCTACTTAGTAATTTAGTGTTTAGAAAAATTAGGTGCTTTATTTGATTTTTATAAATTAATATGATGTTATATTTATGCACATATTGAGTGAACCTTAGTTTCCCATTTGAAATTTAATACAAATGATTTAAATAGTGAGATTGACATTCATGGTCTATGTTTGTTTTTTATGAAGAATAGAAGTTATGGATAAAAGTTGGTTATTGAATCGAAGTTGGATACATGCATCACGTATAAGTGATCAGTATGAGACTGGAGTAGAATATTTTATTGAATATGTAATACGAAATGCTAATGATGATATGAATGGAAGGTTTTTTTGTCTTGTGTTAATTGTTGTAATGCGACTCGCCTAGAACTTGATGTTATAAGAGAACATCTTTTATGTGATGGATTTCTTAAGAATTATACACGTTGGATATGGCATGGTGAAAATGTTGACATTCAAAGTGTATCAGTCGAAACTCAAACTCAAACATTTACACAAGAGATAGATATGGATGATCGGTTAGAGGAGATGCTTCGTGATGTGGGTCCAGAATCATTCAAGCATGCACATATGTATGAAACTATGTGCAACGATTTGGAGAAGCCGTTGTATCCAAACTGTACAAAATTCACAAGACTTTCAGCGATATTAAGATTGTTCAATTTGAAGGCAAGAAATGGATGGAGTGATAAAAGCTTCACAGAATTGTTAGAGCTAGTGAAAGAAATGTTTCCAGAGGGTAACACATTGCCTAATCGTAACTATGAGGCAAAAAAGGTGTTGTGTCCTATGGGTTTGGAGTATAAGAAGATACATGCGTGCCCAAATGACTGTATGTTATATGCATGGTGAGTTTGAAGGGTTGCGTCAATGTCCAAGATGTGGGTTGTCACGATATAAAAAGAAACAAGATGATTCTGATTATGATGTGAGCACTAAGGGTCCTCCACAAAGGTTTTATGGTATTTGCCAATTGTTACGAGATTAAAACGTTTTTTTGCTAATGCGGATGACGCAAAGCTAATGAGATGGCATGAAGATGAAAGGAAGTGTGATGGAAGTCTTAGGCATCCAGCAGATTGTTTGCAATGGAAAAAAATTGATTTTATGACCACAACGGCCCGTGCTCCCTCCGGAACGGCCCGTTCTCCCTGCAGAACGGCTCGTTCCAAAGTCAGAACGGCCCGTTCTCCTAGTTGGAACGGCCCGTTCTGGGCCCGTTCTCACTAAAAAAATTTAGTGAACAACAGTCATCTTTTCAGGAAAAAAGATGTCTTTAAGATACTCCTCCATCAACACTTTCTGACAAGAAGGACCATATTTTGGGGCCATTTTGAATTTAGGGTTTTTGGTCGAAGATTGTTTGTGCAAGGAAGAAGATGAATAGTAATGCTTATCAAGAGAGAGATTTGTGGATTTATGTGCCAAAGGGAAATAAGCACGTCTTCATGTCATGGTTGGTGAGCAGCAATTAACATAGGTGGTTATGTGTTGACGAGATGCGCTTCTATCGTGTCCACTCTTCCACGTGTTACCTTTCTTGTTAATCAATGCACTAATAATTCCTTGCATTAAATGGTCTTCAATGCACCTGTTACCTTTTTCGAGCTTAAAGTGAGACGTTAGAAAATTTAAAAGTAATTGAATTAGCTTAATGAAGGTAAAACGATGCATATAAGATGAAATAATAATCAGATGATGCAAGATCAAATGATGCAAGATCAGATGAATCATACAACATGAACAAATGAAGCATAGTAAAGTGATGCATCAATGTCTTAGTTTGATAAGAATTTTAAGTTCAGATGTTCTTTAATGAAATTAAAACATTCCTCATCTAAAACCTTTATAAAAATATCAGTCCATTGGTGATTTGTGTCAATGAATGTTATATTGAAAACTCCTTTTTGAACATCATCACGAATGAAGTGATATCTTATTTCAATGTGCTTAACTTTAGAATGTTGTATTGGATTTTTTGATAGATTTATAACACTTGTGTTGTCATAAAATATAGGTATATTTGATTCAAGACTAGAATAGTCTTTTGATTGATATTTCATCCATAAGAGTTGTGAACAACATCCAGCAGCTGAAATGTATTTTACCTCTACTATTGAAAGAGTTATAGAGTTTTGTTTCTTACTTGACCAAGAGGTAAGAAAATTTCCCCAAAGGTGACATCCTCCCCTTATACTTTTTCTTTCAATTTTTCCCTAGCATAATTTGTATCACAGAATCCTACTAACATGAAACTATTATTTGTGAGATTTTGACTTAGGTAGGGAGACAATAACTTCAAGAACAAAATACTTCTCTTTCTTTTTTCTTAGATTCTTAAGGGAAGATCTCTAAGACTTGGAGATGAGAATCCCGTGGTGTAGCTGTGAAACTTGAGTTGTTAGAGCTCGGAGCCCGTTTCCTTGTCCTTCTCTTCTACTACCTTGGAATAGCCTAGAGTTCTCTATTCTTATCTTCTTCTTCCTTGGAGAGCTTGGAGTCAAGGTAAGGGAAACTTGCCTTGGTTGTGAAATTCAATTGGTGATTTTTTTTCAAACCCTTAATTTATGAGTTATGTTGCTGGAATTATGATGGTTGAGTCATGGGTTTTGGAGGAAGCTGGTTTGGTTCTTGTAACACCCATAAGGGGGGTTTGATGAATGTTTGAAATCTATGGTTGCATGTCTTATTTTGTGCAAA